GGTCTCCACATTATTGCTTCTAAAGAGAGAAGTGACAATACAGCAGATTATAAAGTCAGAAGCAGTAAATAATGAAACTGTAAAATGATAGATTCTTCTTTAGGATGAGGTGATTCATGTTCATTTCGAAAACATTAGTAGCCATATAAAGGGTAATTTTAGTGCTTGACATGAACTGAAAACGGACACGGTACTTCCATTGATTGGGCTAACCTTTGCTGTGGCTGAATGAGCTCTCTAGTGACTTAAGGAATATTGTGGCTTCAAAGATATTAAATCCAGTGGGAATGACTACAGCGGTTAGTCTCTGATCTGGAAAGAATTTCCACCATTAAATCAGCAAACCAGATCCAGCCAAGTTTGGATACTCTAGCGATACTGCTTGCATTGCAAACCACCATGAAATGTGTACATGTATGTTTAATGTACACATACAGACGCATGTGGAGAACTATATAAAGATGGTCATTATTGACTGATGAGTGGATATTAAAATACTAAGTGAATGCAATTTCTTTTAAAGATTTATTTACTTATTTGAGAGAGAGAGAGAGAGCATGAGCAGGGGCAGCAGCGGGGGGAGAGGGAGAAGCAGACTCCCCACTGAGCAGGGAGCCTGATGCGGGGCTCAGTCCCAGGACCCTGGGATCATGACCCGAGCTGAAGGCAGACTGAGCCACCCAGGTGCCCCAATTAACTAAATTCTTGAAAGAGTCCAAGTCGCTATCCAATAGCTATAGGTTATAGAAAGTTGACCACTTTTGTCCTTAAACTTGGGAAAAACAAGAGAGGGTTTATGCATACCTGTTTCCCAAAAGTGGCTTGTTTGGAGGAGAAAGCAAGATGTTTACCAGTGTTTGTGGGCGACTCAGCCCTCTCGCTACTTCTTGATTTAATTCTGTCTGTTCCAGCTCTGCCTCAGTGGCTGCCATTTGCACACCGAACAGTGGAGCTCCCCACAGTTCCACATTGGGTAACCCCAGAAACGCGAATAAATCTACGAACAGCAAGAAGGCATCTGTAGAGGACCCATCTGTAGTGAAAACTGTGGGGTAAGGAAACCAGCCCAGGACTGAGAGTCTCCAGGAACCCAAGTGGCAGCCTCATGTCCCCAATTAAGCTTGGGTTTTCTCATGGCCCATAGGGGATTATACACATAATAAATAAGGGGCGCCTGGGTGGCACAGTCGGTTAAGCATCTGACTCTTGGTTTCGGCTCAGGTCATGATCTCAGGGTCCTGGTGAATAAGGAAAGGATTAAGGTCTAGGCAGAGAGAGGTAGGGGGCCCCTGGCTGGGCTCTGAAACTATTCCTGGCAGGCAGAAGCACTAAGCCAGAGTGGACAAGAGATAAGGAAACAGGCCACCTGGCCCCAGGTGTGAGGCAGTATTTTTCTTTGGTGGCTACAGTGTAATCATAGAAAATGGCCAAACCTCAAAAGAATTAAGTCCCTAAGAGTGTTATCAATAGTCCCTGCTCAGACCAAGATGGCACAACCATCTCAAGGCCCCAAGCTCTCTGGTCAGTCCTCAGTAAAAGACCGCCAGTGACAGCCCCCCCATGGCAACCCATTCGGGACCCTTCTCACTCTAGAGAGCTCTTTTCTTTCCTTTCTGCTCTCACCTTCACTTAATAAACTCTCACTTCACTTTACCCTTTTGTGTCTGAGAGATTCATTCTTCGACTCCGTGAGATGAGAGCCCTGCGGTCCTGTAACACTGGGGTGGGGCCCCGCGACGGGCTCCACGCTCAGCGGGGAGTATGCTTGACGTTCTCTCTCCCTCTGCCCCTTCCATTTGTGTTCTCCCTGTCTCTTTAAAATCAATAAATATTTTTAAAAATAGTAGAAATAATAGCCATTTGGTGAGCAACAACTCTCTGTATTATATGTATCCTATCTAATCTTTACCGAACTGCCCCCCCCCCCGTGAATATCACCGTTCCCATTTACAGGTGACAAAGCAGGTTCCAAAAGGGTAAGGGATGTGCCCCAGCCGGCACAGCTTTGTGTCAGAGTGAGGATTTGTACCCAATTCTTATTTGCTTCCAAACCTAAACTTCTTGCACTTCCCTCTCTGTCTCATGTCCTGCTGTTGTAAAGGTCAAATTAGATAATAGGGTGTAATGCATTATGCCGATGTAAGAGATCAGTAGCATAAATGCCCTTCCGCCATCCCTTAATTGGAAAAGTATTATGTGTCTTTTGAGGCCTCTTTTTATCTTATGTCATCTTTTCTTTGAAGCAGTGGTTCTTTTTTTTTTTTTTTTAAGATTTTATTTATTTATTTGACAGAGAGAGACACAGCGAGAGAGGGAACACAAGCAGGGGGAGTGGGAGAGGGAGAAGCAGGCTTCCCGCCGGGCAGGGAGCCCGATGTGGGGCTCGATCCCAGGACCCTGGGCTCATGACCCAAGCCGAAGGCAGACGCTTAACGGCTGAGCCACCCAGGCACCCCTGAAGTAGTGGTTCTTAAACTTTGGCGAGTGCATCAGCTGGAGGGCTTATTAAAACAGTCTGGGGCGGGGCGCCTGGGTGGCTCCATCAGTTAAGCGGCTGCCTCCGGCTTAGGTCATGATCTCGGGGTCCTGGGATTGAGCCCCCCATTGGGCTCCCTGCTCAGAGGGGAGCCTGTTTCTCCCTCTCCCTCTGCTCCTCCCCCCACCTGCTCTTGCTGTCTCTCTCACTCGCGCGCTCTAATAAATAAATAAAAATTAAAAAAAAAATAAAATTACATAAAACAGTCCGGGGCAAGCCTGAGAATTTGCATTTCTAAGAAGTTCCCAGGTGCTGCTGCTGGTTGGGGACCGCACTCTGAGAACTACTGGTCTAAACATCACCCAAGTAGCACACTCAGAATCAATGATTTCCACCTCCACAGTGGATAGCACTTTGCTCCTGTTATCAGCGCGCTTCGCTGTTCTGTCTTGGACACAGCGATCTCATCTCCCTCTGGGCCAAGATGATAAATTCCTTGAAGGCAGGGACCACAATTTTTACTCATAGCTACAGTATCACCCAGAGTATCAAGCACAGTAAATCTTGGCTAGCTGTTGTTTAAAAAAACGTGGAATAAAATTCTGGAAGGTGATCCAATAAATATCACTATCACCAATTATCACTAATAATATCATTCTTACATAAATGACATGCACATTAACCTTTTCAGATGCTCGTTTACGAGTGACATGAACACGGCCCAAAGATCATGTACGCTACTAGGTGAGCGCACCTCCCCGTTCTCGTTACCCCCACCGGCTACATCTGAGGGCCTAGCCCTTTCTGCCTCTGGCCCGGCCAGGGGAGGTCACCGCCACCGCAGGGCACAGTCGGGCTGGGATTCAGCCGCCCGCCGCCGGGAGGCTGGCGACTCTTTCTGGGGCGGGGGTGGGGGGCTGGGGGGGTGTCCCACACCAATGACTCGCTGCCGCCAATAGGTGGCAGCAACAGCCTGTCTAAAGCTTTGGGTTTCGCCTCAGAGTGCGTTCAAGGGCGTGGAAGGCTCCTTGTTGACTCTGAAACCCGGCTTCTCACCTCGCTGTGGACTCACATTTTCCTCCCAGCAGCACTACGACAGACTTGGAGCAAACGTGTTGGAACTAAGAGAGCTCAGGAAAGGCCGGGTCGACTGCAAATCGGAGAATGGGCTCTCCCTCATTTAAAAAAAAAAAAGTTTGGGGGGGGCCCCAATCCTACACGGTTTGTCCAGCAATGTCCAGGCTTCATCAATTTAGACATTAACTGGTAAACTCAAGTGGAAGTTTTTTATTGGCTCCGGGTGATGTCACACGAAGCTGGGAGAACTGGTTTTCTCGGTGTGGGGCTTCTTAATCCCTGAAACATCTAGAAAATAAATAAATAAAAAGCTCTGAGCCCTTTCACCTCCTGCCGAACCAGGGCCTTCGGTTGTAAGTGGATGCGAAGCTTTTGCCAAACGTCTTTAAAAACAACAGAAAACCCGAGAAACAGCAATGCAAAGTGGGAGCGAGGAAAATAAACTGCCGGGGCGGCCCTTGGCTGCACCTGGAAACCACCTGGGAGTTTCCTGTGCCCGTGCAGATGCCAGGGCCCCTCCCCAGGTTCTGAGGAACTGGTCTGGATACCACCTGGGCGCCTGGAGTTTGGCAAGATCCCCAGGTGATGCCAGTGTGCCGCCAAGACGGCATGCCATTGTTAGATGTGTGGCCTGGCCTCCCGAGTTAATGAAATTCTCACACCCGCCAACTAGTGTACATTCCTTATGCCTTGAGCACAGTTAAGATAAAACCCAAGGCTTAGTTCAGAGAAAGTTAGCACAGGGGCAGAGGGATAGGAAGCGGATTGAAACTGAACATAAAGCAAAGTCAGGTGTTTTTTTCCTTTCTCTCTCTCTCTCTCTCTCTCTCTCTCGAATTGCCACCACTAACTGCTCCCAGAGAATAGGGGCCTGTTATTTACTTTATCCATTTTGGAACAAGGCACTTGTATTTGCTGACCTTCAAACACTTCCACGTTGTCTAAAGGGGGGGGGGTTAGGGTGCACCCTGATTTGCAGCGTTCGCTGGCTGACTGCAAGCTACCGAGGTGACACCGGCAAATATGGAATGGGGGACTCACGATCCATCACACCACCCCTGTCTTCACCCCAGAGGAACCTTTATGCCCACCCGGGGCTTTCCCGTTTTTAAAGCATTTTTACAGACACTCTCTCATTCAATTCTCAGGGCAACATTGTGCAACGGCGGGGTGGGGATGAGAAGCCTCCGGGCTCAGAGAGACTGAAACCAATTGCTGAAGGCTGCGGAGTGAGTGACCCAAAAAATGGGTAGGGTGGGCAGAATAATGCCGCCCCAAAGATGGCCACATCCTAATCCCTGGCACCTGTTGAGTAGGTAGGCTGCAGCTAGAATTAAGGCTGCTAGCCAGCGGGCCCTAAAGTAGGGAGAGTCCTGAGTTAGCCAGGTGGGGCCGGTGTCATCACAAGGGTCCTTAGCCCTTGCACGTGGAAGAGGGGGGTGGAACAGGAGACCAGAGGGAAACGGAACGGCAGGCGGAGGGGCGGAGAGAGGCAACATTGCTGGCTTTGCAGATGGAGGAAGGGGCCACGAGCCAAAAGGCAAGAAAGCAGATGCCCCCCCAGAGCCTGCAGAGAGGGACACAGTCTTCAGTCCCTTGACTTTGGCCCCACGAGACCTGCCTGGGACTTCGGACCTCCAGAACTGTAAGCGCATACATTTGTGTGGCTTTAAGTTGCTAAGTGTGTGACAACTGTTCCGGCCGCCAAAGAGCCGAGCTCAGTTAGGCCTCTTCCTCTTCAAGTCTCAGTGCACATTTCAGCTCCGGGGGAAGGTGGGGAGGCTGCTTTTTCTTGCCCTTTCTAGGCCGGGGCTTTCTCCCCTGCGCTGCCATAATATCTGGCTTTGAGCACTTACCCTGAGGTGCTTATGTTCTGCATCCTCGGCCTCATCCCTGAGGGCAAGATAGCATGCTCTCACTTTGGCCTGCCTTTCCAGCAGCGCCGTACCTTCCCCAGGAGCAGAGCATAAGCCCCAGCCCCAGCAAGCCTGAATGTGGGGTTAGATGAATGAACGCTTGACTCGGACCATAGCAACCAGCCCTTCGTCGCCACCAGAAATGCTGGCGCTGAGCCGTTAATGCTGCGGGGTCGTTCAAAGCCGCTCTTGGTGGCATCGGGAGCTACCTGCCCCACTCCCTCCAGTGCGCCCCGGGAGGTGCAGGAAACAGCAAGACGGCCCCGTCCCCCCATGCACCCGCACAAAAAGCCTTGCCCCCAGCCCGGCGTGCGTCAGCCCCTTTCGCAGAGCAAGGAGGGTTCTGGCTCCAGAGCGCAGAGAAACAGGCATGATGGATGGGTTCCCGGAGCCCCAGACTCTGCTGCTCCCATCTTTGTCTCAGCAAAGCCTGTATCGGATTTGGGCCTTCGAGCTAGTCACTCGTTTACTCTGGCCTCATTTATCAAACGTGAAGAAGAGCCGCTCTGTGCTCTGCTTGCTTTCAAGGCTTATGAAAAAAGGAATAAAAGAGGTCTGGCCAGGCCTTGAGTCCTGTCACATAGTTGATCCCCTAGGAGCCGATGTGACCACGTGCTAAGAAGAGCCCGGGCTACCTAGGAAAGTTCACGTTGACACGGGAAGTGAAAGTGAATTGCGTCACTTTCTGTCATGTGACAGCTGTGTGCTGCCGAGCAAGTCCCCGAGCGCCTGTTTCCTCAGCGGTGAGGTGGCGATCATGACAGGTCCCGTTTATTACCACTTCCCACGCAGCCCACCCTTTCCCATTCAAGCCCTTCGCCATTACCCTTATTATACCGTCATACAGCTTATCAGTGTTGGAATAGGGGCTGGCTACGTAATTTGTGAGCCCAGCAACCTTCTTCCAAACTGACTAAAACTCCTGATGGCAGCAGCAGAACATTGGACCAAGCCTGGGGCTCGCACGACGTGACCCCGCAGGTTGCACAGCCAAGAAGCCGGCCCTGGGCAGTCTGACTCCAGAGCCTTCTATCTTAGCATCTGTGCTACGATGGGCGTCTCCTAAGGTGGTTGTGAGGTTGGAAGTGAGACTAATGCATTCCTGGCAGAGGGAACAGCATGAATAATGGTCCGGAAGTGGACGCCTGGACACGGATATGCCTAAAGAGTGATAAACCCTTGTGGCTACCGCTGTGGTGACTTGGCGGAAAGAGAAATGTGCCGGCGGGTAGTCCTGGTTCCAGGCTGTGGCACTCCGGAGGCCCTTGCACTTGAAGCTGCTGGTGCTGGGGAGCGCCGGAAGGTTTAGAAGCTGGAGGCCATGTGGACACAGGTCAGGGGACTTACCCTAGGGGGCAGGGTGGAGCAGGGCGGACTGGGGAGAGAGCGCCCCCTAGAGGAGGCTGGTACAGCAACACTCGGGGGCGCCATGAAGCGGGGCTCCTGGAGAAGGGGCAGGGGAAACGGGGAGAAGCAGACAACTTCGGGGTAAATGGAAATGACAGGTTTGGGTTACAAGCTGGATATCAAGGACCGAGGGGAAAAAGAAAAAGCTTCTGATGCCTGATGGCCTATCCTTTTGTTTTGAGGACATCAGGCCCATCTGAGCACGTTAATCACATACACAAAGTTTGCCTTGGAGCACACAGCAAACAGGATACATTTCTTGAGGAAGTAGAAACTCTTTGAGAAGGAAAAAAAATCAGTTTAATTTCCTAAAAAGAACAGCTGTTACTGTCTATAAACTCAGTCATTTCTCAATTTGGGTTTTTTCCCCCTGAAATCTTCCTTTCTGATTTTCCGAGGCATTTATCCATTCTTTGATTATGATATAATCACGTATCCTATAGCTCATATTTGCAGGTAATTATGTCCTATAATAATTGTACATTTCAGAGGAAACCATACAATTAAATACAACCCCCCCCCCCCAAAATCTTCTTTAAATCTCTACCATATTCTTCTCTCAAACTTGGTAGGGCCCTGAGAAGTGGGGCACCTCAGGCCCAGCTGCCTGGGCTCAAATCCCAGCTCCCACTCACTAGCAGTGGGACTTTGGTCAAGTTAGGGTAACCTGGATCCCTTCTCTCAAATGGGGGTAACAATACTAGTTCTTACCTCAGTCCTACTGTGTTACTGAGCAATGCCTTGACTAGTCCGTGGCTTGCAGAAAGGAGGCCATTAATGTCACTTATATTCTCTAGATGATCCACAATGATCCCGAGTGACATTTAAGATCAGAAACATCTACATGAAGTTATATTATCATTATTATTACGTGTCTATCCCCAGTGGGCCACAAAGGTCAAGCCTGGAAGGCCTAGAAAGAAGGGCTCATGGGCTTTTCTTCCCACATGGGCTGACAACGGTTTTGGACAGATTCAGCAACCTGAGGTGAGGTGAGCAAGGCCACAGAGGAGAGGAGAAACAGATCTACATCCGTACCTGTTTTGAAAGAGGAGCTCTCTGGATTAATAACAGTCTCGCTACTTTTCATGATGCGGGATTGGAATTTTGCTGCCCCAGAATGGTTGTGGCCGAGCATTCCACAGGCACTCATTCAGGCCCCATGTTGTTATGCGCTGGAGATACCGAGAGAAAAAAGACCTGGGCCCACCACTGAGGGGGCCCAGCCCGACAGGGAGAGGAGACAGGGAAGAAACAAGCGGCAAAACAGGGACAAACGTCACAAGAGAAGACTTTCCGAGGCACAGGAGTATGAGGAGGGCATTCTGCCCCAGGGAGTAAAGAAGGCTTTCACCGCCCCCCCTCCCCCCAGGCCGGCATTTAAGCACAAGTCTCTAAAATGGCTGCCAGACAGGGAACTTTCTGGGCTGACGGAAAAATTCTGTATCTCGTTTGGGATGGTGGTTCCACAGGCACGCGTGCTCGCCAGTACCCATCTTAAGCAGCCATAAAATGAATGCACTATGTTTTATGTAAATGAAACCTCAATCAAGTTGAGTGTGAACAGAGTCCACACGTACAGGCACTGTGTTGTCGCGACAGCACACTGCCTGGCACTTAGTGGATTCTCTGCTGAATGACACCCTGACGGGCTGAGCGTGTGGAGCTTTCTGTGTCCCCGGGAGCCAGCTCCCTATTGCTCCTGGGTCTGAATCCTGCCTTTGTCCGGCGGCCAGGAGCCCAGGGCGGAAGCCGGCCTCTGCAGGGGAGGAGCCTCCGCTAAATACGCTGACCTCGCCAGGCCTTAGGGGGTTCAGGGAAGTCTTTCTGCTTACTCGGCTTCTGGTCTGAATGCAGGGCCCTATTGGCCGACCAGCTCCAAGCCCTGAGGGCACATTTATCAGTCGGTGGCTCCCATCTGCCCTAGGAGTTCGTGGCCTACGACTCTGCTGGGCTGAGCTCTCAGCCCCCTCCCCCAATGCCATTCTCTTCAGAGCCTCCCCCCTCCACCCCCCCACCCCCGCCCCAGGCGGCAGACCCAGCTGGGGCAGGGCTGGCGGGAGCTCCTAAGCCAGGACCGTGAGGCCTGACACTTACCGAGGCCTGACACTTACCAAGGCCTGTGTGTGTGTGTGTCTGTGTGTGTGTGTCTGTGTGTGTGTGTCTGTGTTTCAGTGGATCTGGATGGACAGACAGCTAAAGTAGTGATCAGTCTGTGAAAGGGCCTGTTTCCCCCCCACCAAGGTAGGGTTGCCAGATAAAATATAGGACTCCCAGTTAAATGGGAATTTCAGAGAAATAATTTTTAACTATGTCTCAAATATTGCACAGGATAACTTTTCCTCAAAAGTCTTTGTTATTCATCTGAAATTCCCATTTAACTGACTGTTTTGCATTTTGATTGGCTACATCTAACCACCCTCCTGGGGTGAGGCGGGCAGCCGAGAGAGAGGGGAGAAGAGCCTATTTTGCTAAACCCGCACACAGCACTCTCAGGGGAGCAAGGGGGGGGCAAGCCTTCATGGTTGTTCCCCGGGGCATTGGAATCAACGTCCATAATGGGGATCACAGGGTGGGTGCGAGGCTGCTCTGCTCGACTTATCCAATCATCCCATAATTCACACGGGAGAACAGCAGTTGGCAGAACAGGCTGTGAATGTGCTCCATTTCCTCCCCACAGCCACCTCCGCTGTGTGGCTCCTCCCTCCCTTCTTGAAGCCAGCTGGGGTAGCCCGGGCGGGTGGGGGGGGGCTGGCTGAGAGGGAGGCAGACACCCCTCCTGCACCACCCGCCTCACCTGCTTTCCCAGGCTCACCACGTCCGCTACCCACGTGGCCCCCTCCCTCCTCAGAACCTTCACCTCAGGGCTGCCTTAGCACTGAACTCTCTAGGTCGGCATAGGAGAAGTCAGTGGAAAGTTACTTGCACATAAACGGATGGACGGATGATGAAAGTCCAGGAAACCGCAGTTCCTCCCCTGCCGGGGCACCAGGCCAGAGGCCAACCTGCTAGGCTTGGGACCCACTTCTGGCCTCACCACATGCCCAGAGACCTTGGACGAGTCACTTACCATGTGCCCCAGTTTTGCATTTGTAGATGGGATGCAGCTGCCCAGTCGTACCCTTCTGGGGCTGCCAGGAGGCAGGAATGAGCTGGCAGATGCAAAATACTGGTAACATTTAAAATGAAGCATCTGTACAAATTTATGGTGGTGCAACCCGGCTAGAGGTGCTTCTACTTAGAGAAATCCAATACATGAATATTCTGACACACACACATCGTTGCATGATTCAAAGAATAGCTTCTCTACCTCACTGAAAATATGATTCGGTTCACCAAAATGTAACATTGTGATGGCATTTTACAGGGAAACATGGAAGACATAGCTTCTGTAATTGAACTCGGTGTGTGCTTCAGCTGCATTCTAGAAAGGAGGCCTATTGCAGACCTGTCTACAGTCCCTTTGATTTAGGATTATGAGGGTTATAGTCTTAGTAACTGTCCTCCTGCCCCTTTAAGAACAGAAGTCCTTCAATTGCAGATAAGCAGGAAGTGCCCCTACTCTGTCTTGGCTGTGTGTTTCACTTCCTTCCAGAGGTGTTTTCTTACTAAAGAAACCCCAAGTCCAAGGTCATGTTTATTTCTTTCAAAAGCATACTCAACTGCCTTTGTGTTGGTTTCATGAAATTTCTGGGGCAGGAAAATACACAAATATATATATATTTTTTTACTTTTTATTTTTAAATAGCCTTTATTTTTTAGAGCAGTTTTACATTCACAGCAAAACTGAGTGGAAGGTACAGAGATTTCCCAAATGCCCCCTTTCCACACACGTGCACAGGCTCCCCCATTATTGACACAAATAATATTTTTAAATATATAAAAGATGAAGGTAAAACATAAATGGTGTTTTAAATATTTTAAAATGTAAAAGTAATACATGCTTCCAGTAAAAATGCAAGTGGTAGAAGATTCTCCATTCCCCTTCCCCAGAGGTCGCTTCTGTTAATAGTTCTTAAAATTCCCTTCTGGAACTTGTCTCTATAACCTCACTTTTTTTATTACACAGAGATAGATCATACGATATTTATAAGGTTCTCTTTTTTCTACTCAGGAGTATACATGAGGGGCGCCTGGCTGGCTCTGTTGGTGGAACATGTGATTTTTGATCTCAAGGTCCTGGGTTCGAGCCACATGTTGGGTGTGGAGATTTCTTAAACAAACAAACAAACTTAAAGAAAAGTGTACTTTGGGGCGCCTGGGTGGCTCAGTTGGTTAAAGCGACTGCCTTCGGCTCAGGTCATGATCCTGGAGTCCCGGGATTGAGTCCCGCATCGGGCTCCCTGCTCAGCGGGGAGTCTGCCTCTCCCTCTGACCCTCTTCCCTCTCGTGCTCTCTATCTCTCTCATTCTCTGTCTCTCAAATAAATAAATAAAATCTTTAAAAAAAAAAAAAGTGTACTTTGGCTATCCTTCCATGGCATCATGAGTAAAGCTGCCTCAATCTTTTTCTTGCTTTATTTAGAGAGACAGAGAGACCGAGCAGGGGTCGGGGCCAAGGGAGAGGGAGACAGAGAATCCCAAGCAGACTCCACACTGAGCAGGAAACCCAACGCGGGGCTCGATCCCAGGACCCCAAGATCATGACCTGAGCCGAAACCAAGAGTCGGACGCTCAACCGACTGAGCCACCCAGGGGCCCCTCGGTCATTTTCTAGTGGCTGTATAACTTTCCATTGTTTGGGTACTCTATCATGTATTTAACTAATTTCCTAATTAATATACACTTAGGTTAATTCTAGCGTTTCCTCTTACCTACAATGCTATGGGGAAAGGATATATAGGTATGTGCGTGTGTACAAATATATAGACACATATCTTGGCATATGTGTCCGAATATGGCCCTAGAAAACATTTCTAGCGGTAGAACCACTGGATCAAACTGGAAATGCTGTTTCGACTGTGAGAGCGGCTGGTACCCCTGAAAAGTCTTTATACCAGTTTACAAATCCAGCAAGAGCACGTGAGCGCGGCTCTCTCTCTTCTTTCCCTGCCTTCTCCCCAACCTCAGACAGTACTCAACATTTTCATTTTTGTCAGTCAGATGGGGGCAGAGAGGGCCTGGTTGTCTGATTTGCATTTGAAAGCCTGCAACCCAAGGGCATCTTCCCGTATTAATCCTGACTCAGTGAGGAGGGGCTTAGGGGCCAGACTTTGGAACGTGAGAGAGCTGGATGCCATCCTAGTTCAGGCACTGGCCAATAGTGATGTGCAGGGCCTCAGTCTTTCCATCTGTAAAATAAGCATCCTGGGGCACCTGGGTTAAGCGTCTGCCTTCGGCTCAGGTCGTGATCCCGGGGTGCTGGGATCGAGCCCCGCATTGGGCTCTGTGCTCGGTGGGAAGCGTGCTTCTCCCTCTGCCACTCCCCCTGCTTGTGCGCACGCGCTTGCTCTCTCTCTCTGACAGGTAAGTAAATAAAATCTAAAAACAATTAATTAATAAATAAATAAATAAAAATAAAATAAGCACCCTAAGACCAAGACCATGGGGTGATCGGAAAGGCTCCAAGAAAGCAGTACAAGTGGCCAGCAGGGCAAATGTTAGTGTGCTTCCCACCAAAGCAAAACAAAACCCAGAAAACCCAATTTCAACTGGCCCAGTCCGAGGCCCGGGAATAGTTTCTGCGATGTCTGAGATCTCCCCTTCTTACTTGCTGCCCCTGCTTGAGGGAGGAAAATGCAAATAAAATGCTGAAAGAGAAAACTGAAATGATCACATCAAACGGTGCGTCTGACCAGCGAGTGACCTGGGGCATGTTATGTCTTGGAGCCCGTTTCTTTTCTGTAAGATGGGGTGTTCTCTTTACCCAGCCCAGTCGCTCGGGGAATCAAAAGGGCCACAGGACAGTGCCTGGCTCTGGCAAGCACTCTGGATGACCCGTGTGGTTGTTCCTAGCCCCGGCCCCCCCCCCCCCCCGCCAGCTGCTCAGCCCACGTCCCCCCAGCAGGACAGGTGAAGTCCCCTGGACTCTGGATGATGCACAACACCTACTCAATGCCGGCCTCGTTGAGGGCCCTCGGGGGACCATAAACACTGCAATAGGAGCACTGGCTGGAAGGGCAGCCTGCAGCTTTCTGGCCTGTCCTTGGAGACAGAAGTCTATCCTGGCAGTGCTCAGCAAGCCGGTGGAGCGAACAAGCCCCATTTCCCGTGGCTGGGGTAAGACCTTCATGGGCCTACTTTGTGAAAAGATAACTGGCCATGTTTTATTCTTTTAATTTTCTCCTTTGGAAGCGGGGTGCACTCTGAATCCTGTGGGGTGGTTCCAGTGACATCAAAGTCACTTGTAAGCGGGGTCGGCACTGACACGGTTTCCTTCAGTGCCACAGACTCTCACGTGGGCTTGTGAGGGGTGGGGAGAGAAATTCACCTCCCCCGAGGCTACACCTAATCCCACCAGTGCGGAGGGCTATGGTCCAAATATTCGTGTCTCCCCCCGATTCACATGCTGACATCGGAACCCCCATGATGATGATAGCAGGAGGCGGCCCTTGGGGAGGTGACTAGATCAGGAGGGCAGAGCCTTCCTGAGTGGGACAAGAAGTCCGTGACTGGGAAGAGGCCTCTCACCCGACCACGCTGGCCCCGATCTTGGATGGCCAGCTTCCAGAACTGCGAGAAATAAACGTCTGTTTTTTGTAAGCGCCCCAGTCTGTGGGATTTCCTTGTGGCGGCCTGAATGCACAGAGACCCTGAGCTCGGCACTCTGTGAAGACAGGTGACACGGCCGCACCACGTAGGCAGTAGAGATGTGGGAAAGAGCAGGTCTCAAAAACGAATAGCTTCACAGTGGAGAGGCCTGGCAGGTAACACCTTCATCAAGTGCTCAAAGTGAACACCGCCAATAACGGGTCAGGCCGACATCATGCGCCTCTGGATTCAAGACCCCGAGAAGGTCACAGCCTCCCTTGTGTAGGATTCCTGCCAAAAGGGCAAAGCCCAAATCTAATCATCAGGAAACATCGGACAAACCGAAATGAAGGGGAAATCCACAGAACAAGTGGCCTGTTGTCTTCAAAAATGTTAGTGTCGTGGAAGAGCCAGAGAGGCTGGGGAAGTTCTAAATTAAAAAGACACTAAAGGGACTTGCCGTCTAAATGCAATGCATGCTCCTGGACTGGAATCTGGACCGGAAGAAAAAATTGCTATAAGGACGTTATTGGGCTAATAGGCAAAATTTGAATAAGATTTGTAGATAGCAGTATTGTAGCAATGGGAATGTGGCTGTGTCGGAGGATGTCTTGCTTTTTGTTAGATTCGTAACTTGCTCTCGGGGTTTAGAAGATAACGTAGAGAATGATAAAGCAAATGGAACAAAATATTAACAACTGATGAATCAGGGGGCAAGGTGTACAGGAATTCTTCATTGTATTTTTGCAACTTTTCCGTAAGCCACCTCATTATCATAAACAATCAGGCACAGTCCAAGGGGCTCACCGGGAATAACAAAGACACTCCTACCACTTGGGAAATGGGAAGGGTTTAGACCAAGGTCAGTCACATTTGTTTATGACGCAAAACCAGATCCAGCCTCCTAGCTATAAGAGTAAGACATTTGTGCAAACATCTCTGTAGAGTACAAAATACAATGTTCAAACATTAAAATACCTCCTTCTGGCCCAAACTAAAATTGTGCCCCAGTCTGTAAGTAGACAGAAAAATGGAAAGATTTAAGTCCAAATGTATGCTTTTTCTTTGTGCCGAGGACGACGGGTAGTCAAAAAAGGGGGATGGGGGTGGTATGTCAGGAAAGCCATTTCCATGAATGAGGAAATTTAGGTCTTCGGAAGCCTAGCATGCAGGTTCAAATCTGGGCAATGGATTCTTGGATGACAAAACTAAGTAACCAAGCACAAACTACCATCACCGTCCCTGCCACGAGCACAACAAAACCAGGAGTGCTGCTGCTTGCTAGCATCCAGTACCAACAAATCGTCCTCTAGGGAGCTACGACATTGCTCCTAGATGCCTGACTTTCATAAAGGACAGGCCTGGGCTCCTTCTCATCTGACGCGAATAAGCTGCTTCCTGAAGTATTTGACCTCCTGCTCCTAAAATCATGCCGAAAGGACTATAGGCCCACGGCTCAAAGTAAGGAGTTTTGGTTTCTGGCCGTGGCTCTGCTAACCAGCTGAATGCCCTTGGGCAGGTCACTTAACTTCTCTGTGCTGGGTTTCATCCTCTGCAAAAAATTGATACCAATACCTAGCCCCTTTGTCAGCGTAAGGCTGCTTTAAGGATAAAATGACACAAAAGATGCAAAAGTGCGTTGACAAAGTTCACAAACACCAGATAAATGTGACTCGTGTTACATAAGGAATTATTGGAGCCCAAGATGTAAGGTGACACCTATAAGCTGGTCTTTTTTTTTTTTTCTCCCAACTGTTGTCCAACTGACAGGTTGCTCTGAGCTAGTGCCTAAGCCCTTTTGAGTAAGCCGCTGGTATGGACCGTGGAATTGAGGCTGGGACGAGAAGATGCAGGAGGCAATGGTAAATTACATTTCCAAAGCAGATATTCGGTGGTTTATCTGGTTCATTGGTAGCCACCCCATTATCTCTTCCATTCCCTCTCAGAAATTCTGTTGGTGACTTTTTCTCATTTGAGAGACCCTCTCCCTTCGATAGACTAGGGTGCACAGACATCCAAGAGAGCTTTGCAGAGAATCCAGGGAGTCCATAAATTTAGAAAGGAAAAAATTACATCTTTTCATTCACCTCTAACTAAGTGTTAGCATTTCCTTCAGGGACGCCTGCAAGCAAGTCTCTAAGCGTGGGCTGCCATATCAAAATACCACGGAACGAGCAGCTCAAACAACACACATGCACTTCTCACCGTTCGGGAGGCTGGGAATCCAAGATCAAGGTGCGGGCACATTTAGTTCCTAACGCGAACCTGCTTCTTGCTTGGCTTACGGACAGTGCCTTCCTTCAGACAAACGTTCAAGTCCATAACGACAAGGAAACTCTCTAGCATTAGCAGTTCCTGTGACTGTGTCAACAACAGACACCACAGATATTTTTCTATCTGCTAACATTTTGCAGATATCTACACACGCCCCACTATTTTGAATTTATGTTGGATCTGAGACCGACTACGGGATTGTGTGATTTAATGCACAAAGCAGCACGTAAATGACTCCATCACAGTGTTTAATAAAACTCTTTTGGTAACTGTATGGCAATCTAATTGCTTTCATTCATTTTTTTTTTTTTTAATTTTAGGTATGTACATAATTCTGAGATAGGGTCTCTGGGCTTCACCAGATTGGCACGGCACAGAAAGAGTTAAGAACCAGACTCTCACCCCACCCCTGAGTCCCCTCCCATTTCCTCTGAACCAGACACAGGGGTGTGAGGAAATGGGACTATGATTTACTTTTCTTACTTCCTCTCTCTCTCTTTTTACACCCCCCCAACTTTTTTTTTTTATCGAGGTAAAGTTCACATAACATGAAATTAACACTTTGAGAGCAAACAATTCAGTGACATTTCATACATCACCCTGTTGTGCAGCCCCCTCCTCTGTCTAGTTCCCAGACATTTTCATCACCCTAAAATGAAACCCTGTACCCAGACAGCGGTTGCTCCCCTTGGCTCCCCCCTCTCAGCCCTCGGCCACCTCTAATCTCCTTCTCTCTCTATGGATTTGTCCATTCTGGATGTTTCACAGAAATGGAATACTGCCATGTGTGTGTGGTCTTTGGGACCCGGCTTCTTTCACACAGCATGCTTTCCAGGTTCATCCATGTTGTAGCGTGCACCGACTTCATTCCTTTTTATGGCGGAATGCTGTCCCATCAGATGACTGCACCGTATTTCATTTATCCATTCATCCATCAATGGGCACTCGGCTCCTTCCACCTCTTGGCTCATTGGATTGGTGTTGCTATGGCCACGAAGACAAGTATTTGTTTGAATACATGCTTTTCACTGAATCTATTTGCTAAAGTGCGACCTAGTAACTGTAGGGTCTGTGAATCTCAATTGTCCATATCATCTTGACCAGTTCAGACAATTGAGTCCTGGCTATAACTGGCACAGTAGACGCCTAGAACTCAAGCATCCTCTCTTGGTACTTTCATTTGCCCCGCGTTTGGCCTTCGTGTGAGAAAATGACATCCTCCTCTTCTGGCTTGGGTGCAAATTCTATCTGTGGAATTCCTCCGCAGGGAAGCCTCCTGTGAGTGAAGGCATCAGAGAGCATTGGAGAAGTGGGCAGAGATGGCGGTAAAGGCTGGCTCCTTCCCTGGCCTTGGCACACGCCCGGGAATTCTGACATGCGAGGAAGCTAAGAGCCGCAAGCATCCCTTGGACAGGACAAAACTGCCAGGCAGAAAGGAAGGGAGGAGACCTGGTGGGCGTCCCTGGCACAGGCCCTAGAAACGTGTGGTGATCGCCAGCTCCAAGGGCAACTAGGCTCAGACGGAAGCTTAGCAGAGGGCGCAGAGGCCGAACCATCCCGTGCACACACTCAGACCTTCTCACACCCGGGTAGCACATGCGGGAAGGATCAGAGAGGGCATTGCAGGCAGAGGAAGGGGCACGTGAGTAGATGGGCCCGTCCCTGGGTCCTAGGAAAAGCTAGGGAGGGCATTGGGGGCACACAGAGAATGAGAGGGGCCGGACTGGCTTCATAACTGGTACAAAATGAAAGGGTGGGGCCCTTTGTTCAAAATGATCAACAGTTTCAAGATGGCGGCAGCAGAGCGCGAAGCTGAGCAAAGGGTCTCTGGGAGTGTGGGGGCCTTGTGCCACTGCATAGGTCACACGCCCTTGGAGCCAGCCCTGCAGAGGGGAGACGGTCTGGGTCAGCCAAGGAGGTTGATCTTGGCCTATGTGATCAAATCTAGTACCCACTTGTGCTTCATTTTCCTTGCCACGAAGCCATTAGCCACCTTCTGCTGATGGTGTGGGAGCTATATTCTATTTAAAAAGCACTGACGTCCCCAGAAGAAGCACATTAAAATACATAAACACTTACTACTTGCTAATGATAGTTCTGCTTCACGACAGAATAAAAAGTGTATCACTTTTAACACAGAAGGCCATCAGGAGTATGTAATGCCTCCCCTTTCAATTATGTGATTTGACCTGCTAATTTTTTGTAACCAGTGTAATATGAATGACTGCTGGGAAAAATATTAAAGTAGTGAAAAGCTGTGTGAAACGGCCAATGTTCAAGATAAGAATTCCCTTTATTGCGAGTGCACTGGGCTCTGTAGGATGAGGCAGAGAGCAGACTGAATTTGTGTAATGAAATCATTTGACAATTGAAGCAGGCAACTTTTTAATTTATATGATACATGACCATGATATCTGTGTTTCAAAGTTTTAGTGATGGAAACGTTGGATGGTTTATTGTGATGGGACAGAACTTTACCCTTAGCTGGCCTATACAACAAGAACTAAGGGCCTTATCTTAGGATTCCAGAAAAGCGGAATATTTAACTGAGGCGGCTTCTGAGCCAGCCAGTCTGAGTTCGAACCCTGCCTCCGGTTTTTGCTGTGTGGTTTCGGGTAAATTATTTAATCTCCCCAGGACACCCTCATTGGCAAAATGAGTAACATAACAGTGCCTCTGCCATGGGGTTGTGTAAGGGTTTAGGGAGATTATGCATGGAGAGCTCCCCTGTATATGGTAAGCACTCAGAAAATGTTAGCATTACAGACAGGACTGCTGCTGCTGCTGTTGTTCTTATTAATTATTATTATTATTATTATTACTGTTATTATTGAATCTGGCTGCCACCTGCCTCCCCACCTTATTTCCTGTCACTTTTATTCTGCACAAGCCCCAGCCAAACAAAGCTACCTACCGCCCCCGTATATGCTTGAAGCTTCTCTGCCTGCTTTTTCTTGCCCTTGCTGTGCATAGACTGAGCAACCACTTGGAGGGGATGTTGTAGAGGCGAATTCAAGCCACGGCAGGGAACTGGGTTGAATGAGATCCCCCTGAAAGTTCCTCTTGGCTCTAAGATTCCATCGGATCGACAAAGTGAACAGGAGAGTTAGCGGGCACGTTTGACATTCTCTAGAGCGTTCTTTGATTCCTCTCTGCTTCGCCGGTCTCCTGCATTCATTTTTAGCACACTAGCCGAGGGAACCTTCTGTTCCATCACACTGAGCGCAGGGTGGAGCTGCCGCAGGTGGGAGTCCTGGAGACACACTCAGGTCGGGGACAGATGGCCCCGTTGGGCGTGCAGAGGCTCGGGAGACAGAGCCTGTGTGTTTGATCGCGAGCAAGCTTGCTTAGATTCCCTGAGCTTCATTCAGGGTTTTCAGTAGTAAAATGCCCACTGCAGAGGGTGAGAACTGCATTAGATATGGTATACAGAGAGCCCACTGAATATCCCTTCCCTGTCGTTAGTTAGGGAGGGGACTCGGGCTGTGCCTCTAAGGGGATTTACCTGAACCAACTGAGATTGCAGGGTCACCGGGGAGAGTGGGGTGCAGGCGGGGAGGGCAGATGGTAGGAGGCCCTGAAACCGAGACAAAGGGACCTGGGCTCGAGAAAGCGAAGGGTTGGGAGCCTTGCTGTGGTCACTTTCTTCTGTTCCTTTCAGCGCTCTGCACAGAATTTAATAGGTTAAAAAGTAATAGGACTAATTTTTCATGTACCCAGACCTCTGTGGCTGCTTCTCCAGCCTTGGAAATAGCTACACATCTGCCCCAGGCCTACCCTGGAAAGGGAAATAAAACAGAGTGTGCCCTGACACCTCTTCCTGGTTGCACCGGGCATGGGCTTTGGAGGGGGGCCACTGTCCAAGGCGGGCTCTCTTGGCACATGGGTGCCGGGTGGGTTCTTCTCCCCGAGAGCCCTGAGCTTGTGGGAGCGCACCCTGCGGTTCTGTTGCTGCTCTCAGCCTCTGTCTTTCCACTCGGGATTGAAAACCCCCACCTCCATGCTGGTCGTGCCCAGCACACGCTAACCCACTTAGAACGGTAGCTTCTGTGAGGCGGGAAGTAACCCTGACATGTGAAACATTAATACCGACAGGTCTGAACGATCTGGGGAAGAAAGCAAGGTGGCTCGAGCCACAGGCTCAGAGTTTGGCCAAGCCGGGTTCAGGAACCTTCCTCACTCAAGCAAGTCAGTTCAATGCAAGGCCCTAACTGTTTGAGCAAGTGCCCTCTCCCAGGCGCTGCGGGAAACAAAGCAGCCTGTCCCCTCACATGCTTCCTGATGATTCTCAGGCGCAGACTTGGGGGACCCGGAGCGGGGCGGGGGGGGGGGGTTTGAAGACTTTTATGAAACCCTTAGCACAAATAACAGACAGTGGCTACCGGCTGAGTTATCACAAGGATGGATCTCTAAGCTCAGTTTCCCCATCTGTAAACCTCTCTTCATTGGGGAGGGGGGCAGCAGGGGGGAAAGGCAGAAGCAAACGTAAAGCACCCATGACCGTGTCCGGCTCTTACAAGGCATCAACCAACGGGGGTTGTTAGTTTTTATTTGCTGTAAAACTAACAGAAGCTCTCATTTTTACTGGTACTTTTTAAGAGAAATGACGAATCTAAAAACCTCTAAAATTTGTAATTCCAAACACTAAACATTAATTTTTTCCCCTCAACTTTCCATCCTAAATAACAATAATACAAAGCACTTACTAAGTGTCATGCACTGTCCTAAGCCTTTAGGGCTCCCCATGAGCCCCATGAGGTAGGTTACTGCAATGATCCCATTTTACAGATGAGAAAACTCAGGCCCTGAAAAATTAATTCACATGGCCAGGGTCACACAACCCTTAAAAATATTCCTTTAGTTTGCGTTCTCCTTCATCTGCCTCCCCCGCACCCCCCCCCAGGCTCTCTCCAGGTCGCTGACCAGGGGCAAGGCCAG